TCTTCTAGCTTCCATGACTGTGACAGCATACATTGATGTTGTTTCAAATCCCCCTAGAAAAAGCATGTTATATACTCTGTTGTGTGAATAGAAAATGGGGGAAATTCTCATAATCACAATTTCACTGTAGGTTACATCTTACCACCTGCCTGTCAGTTTGTCATCCTTGGCTGGCTTTTGCTTTGCTAGAATTCTGGACGTTTTGCCTCTATGAGCACAGTCACCTCTGATGGGCAGGTTTCAGGAGCGCTTCCAGACTCAGGCAAGCTAGGAAGAGAGGCCTGCTAATACACTTCTGAAAAATCAGTGACAATCTTACAGATCACAGCAGAACGTTGTGTGCCTTGCTTTGGACGTGTCACCGCGTTATTGTTACACGCGCTCAAGGAAGTTCAGACTCAGAGCAGCCCCACATGCGGCAGATGGCCCTGCCATCCCCACAATTGTCATTATGGTTAAGCCCATCTTCGCAGCCACTGTGAGGCCCCTCTTGTCGCGGGCCTTCCTCGTTTTCGCTGCCCCTCCACTTTACCAAGCATGCTGTCCTCCAGAGACCGGTCTCTCTACATGAGATGGAGTCTGACTGCCTTGATTCGAAGGGACCGTTCGGGCTGTACTTCTAAGACAGGTTTGCTTGTTCTCTGGGCAGTCAATGATACTTTCCATCTTCTTCACCGGCACCATAACCGACATGAATTGATTCTTTAGGGTCTTCTTTATTCAGTATCAGCTTTCACATGCATATGTAGTTGTTCGGTGCCACCACACCCCTTTAGACTCACAACGATTCTGTGTGGAACTGAGCAAAACACCGCCTGGCCCCGAGCCTGGCCCACACTTGTTCCTGTGTTTGAAACCATCAACGCAGCCACCGGGCCAACCTATTTTGTTGACGATTTCCTTCTTTTTCACTGCCTTGCTGCTTTACCAAGCATGGTGTTCTTTTCCAGGGACTTGTCTGGCTGGACAACTTACGTAAATTAAGTATGTGAGAGGAACTCTGGGCCATCCTTGCCTCTAAGGAACATGCTGGCTGTACTTCTTCCAAGACAAATGGTTTGTTATTTTGTCAGTCCATGGTACGTCTCAATATTCTCCTCCAGCATCATAATTCAAATGCATTGATTCTTCACGCTTCCTTAATCATTGTCCAACTTTCACATATCCATGAGAAGATTGAAAATATCCTGGCTGGGGTCAGACATACCTTATCTCTCAGAGTAACACCCTTGCCTTTCAACACTCTAAAGAGCTCTTGTGCAGCAGATTTACCCTATTAGTACATCCTTTGATCTCCTGACTGCTGCTTCCGTGAGCCTCAATTGTGGATCCAAATAAGGTGAAATCCTTGACTTCAATATTTTCTCTGTTTATCACGATGTTCCAGTTATGATTATTGTAGTTTTCTTTGCACTGAGTTGCAATTCATAGTGAAGGCTGCAATCCTTGATCTTTGTTTGGAAGCACTTAAAGTCTTCCTCACTTTCAGCAAACAAGGTGTGTCATCTTCCCGTGGCAGGCTGTTATTAAGCCTTCCTCCAATCCCGCTGCTGCTTTCTTTTCCATATAAGCCAGCTTCCCTGATGATTTGCTCAGCATCCAGGTGAAGTATGATGAGAGAATACAAGCCTGAGGCACACATAGCCTGATTTTAAACCATGCAGCATTCCCGGTTCTGTTTGCACAAATGTCTCCCGATCACAATCGTGTGTTCTGGGATTCTCGTTCTCCTCAAGGTTATCCGTAGTTGTTATGATCCACATCGTCAAATGCCTTGGCATAGTCAATAAAACACTAGGAAACATCTTTCTGGTATTCTCTGCTTTAAGCCAAGATCCATCTGAAATCAACAATGATATCTCTTGTTCCACATCCTGTTCCGAATCTGGTCCGAACCTTTGGCAGCTCCCTGTCAATGTACAGCTGCCACCGTTGTCAAATAATGTTCATTAAAATGTGACTTGCATGTGATACGCATGATATTGTTTTTTAATTTATGTATTCTGTTGGGTCACCTTTCTCTGGAATGGGCACAAATATCAATCTCTTCCAGTGAGCTGGCCAAGTAGCTGTCTTCCAAATTTCCTCGCATGCACCAGTGAGTGCTTCCAGTGCTTTATCAGCTTGTTGAAACATTTCAGTTGATATCCTATCAATGTCTGGAGCCTGTTTGTAGTACTTCTGTGTATGAATGAACTGGAGCCTTAGTTGAGATACGTTTTCATTCACCCTCATATGCATACATGTGTGTGTCATAAAGCATCTGCCATTTTTACTTTTTTCATTATACAGCTCGATGACATTAAGTATAGTCGCTGTGTTGTACTATCTTCACTGCTGTCCATTTCCGGGGTTTTCAACCCCGGAACAGAAGCTCAGCACCTCCTAAGGAGTAAGTCTCCATTACCCCCTCTCCAGACCCACGCAGATTATCATTGTTATATTTTTTATTCCAACGCACTGGTTATTCTGGAGGGTTCATGTAAGTGGGATCGTGTTATCTATGCCCTTTTGTCTTTGACCCATGCAATTTAGATTTGAGTTATTTCTTTTCAAGTGTCATCCATGTCATAGCATATACCGGAACATAATTTCTCCCTGTCTTTGAATGGTATTCCTTTGTTTGTATATATCACAATCGATTTATGGATTAATTTTCGATGGGTGCTGAACCAGTGTGACCCATGAATGCTGCCATGAACATTTGGTGTACACACCTCTGTTTGAGGTTCGCCTTTCACGTTGTTTGATATTTACTTAGGGGTGGACTTGCTGAGTCAGGTGGTGATTCGGTGTTTAAATTTTGAGGAATTGCCCAATATGTTCTTATAATGAATGGACGGTTTTGTATTCCTACCAGCAACATATGAATGTTATCTTTCTTCACATTTTCACCAATACTAGTTAGTTTCTGTTTTTATGCTAATAACTATCTTCATGGGTCAGAAGTGGTATATATGTTGTGTAACTGTTATATAGCTGAATCTATTATCTCTTCTCTTTGCAAGCTCTTACTATCATTTCACCTTTAATGTTGCCCATTTATCTCAGAATAAAAAGGAATATCACTCTCCAAAGTTGTAGAGAGCACTTGACTAATTTGTTATGCAGGTAGTGAGGAACACATGATTTTACAGTGTCGCATCCTGGAGAGTAGAGGAAGGTCTAGCTTGGATGTTTTCCTATTACTAAATTATTAGTTTCTTAAGGTTGGTATAAAGTACCTAAAATTAAGGGGCCCATAAGAATAGAAATGGATTATTTCAGCATTCTGGAGGCTACTTGTCTATATCAGGGTGCCAGCCGGGCCATGCCCCTCCTAAAGAAGCAAGGAGATGCTTGCTTCTGTCTCTCAGCCTCTGGGAGGCCCAGGTGTTCCTTGATGTCTGGCTGCAGCATTAATTCTGCCCTCACATGGCTTTCTTGACAATCTCAAATTGTATGGTGAATTAATTCTGAGCTACATTTCAGATCATAGTTTTGTATTCAAAAATTTAAAAACATATCTAACTTTCAATAGGTTGCACACACACACACACACACACACACACACACACACCCTACCTTCTTTTCTGCTTCTCCCTTTTGTGGGTGTTATCTTCCCGTTCACCACTGTCAACCCTATAGCCTATCGGTTCTCCTTCTCTCTCTTTCTCTTCTTGTTAACCAGCAATACCTATTTCTTCTGTTATGAAGACCTTTACCCTGATCTTTTTCTTTTATAACTAGTCTCATACAATATTTTCCCTGATATGATTGAATACATTTTTCAGTAAAATGTCTTCCAAACCCATCCATGTTACAAGGTATTGCACAGTTTCATCATTTCTATGAATGATGTGTAGTTTTAGTATTCCATTGTTTGTGTGCAGCAAAACTCCGATTAACAGTTAGAACCTATCTCTAAACAAGGTATAGATGTCAAGATTTTAGGATGTTAAACATTCACTTTGGGAGACACAGTTCAACCTCAGACACTAGATAGTACTTGAAACGTGTAGCTTTAATAATTTACATCTAAATCTTCCTTTTAAATATCTATCATATGTATAAATGTAAAGACATAAATATACATTTCTTATGCTGAATTGTCTTATTCATGAGTGAGTTTAAACATTACTTTATGGCAATAGACCGTTTTTCTATATATGAAAGATGTTACTCTGTTGTGTTTGATATTGTGGAGATATTTCTTTCTAGATTTCCATGATCTGATCCTTTTGGTGATGATGATGTGTGCATATGTATATTTGGAGAGTGAATGGCATTATCGTTTATGGTTACATAATCATTTTCTACTTGAGAACTAAATAAATATATAACTTTTTCTCAGATTTTGTTATCTTTATTTTAATGTGTTCCAATGTGCAATGCAGAATATGGTTCACTTTTATTAGAATGCTAACAATTGTCTCACTGTAGTTTATAGACCAGTATGTCTTTCCTATATTTATCAGTAATGCTTTTTTCATCGTTAACAGTCTCATTTTTATTCACTTTTTAAAACTGGGTGTGCATTTTGTAGCATTATATTCTTTAGAAGTGAAGAATGAACATTAAGTCATTCAGGGTAAGTTTTCTGTAATAGAAACCTGTCCTACTTTAATGTACACTAATCTTTCTCAAATTATTTTATTTTCTTTAGAAAGTGAATAGCTAGTGTATTTCCTTGTGTTTTAACTTGATAGTTGCTTCATGAAGACCACTCTTAGCAAACTGGGGCACTATTTAGGGCAGGCTGCATTTTCACAGTTTTCTTCACATATTTTTGTTTATCTACAGGACTTGTTAGTAGCTAGCTGTTCATGGATTCTAATTTACTATGACACAATTTTGGAAGTGATCATTTCTGTTAGATGTGGAGATATTATTAACAAACTTTGTTTGAAACAAACTGATTCCCCAAATTACTGACTGCTAAATCATTGTTAAGTTTTGGTCATTTTACAAATGAATGAAAGAAGATAATTTTTTTCTCCATTTTTACCTTTTTATTTTAGAGAGTCCATTTTTAATCGCAAGAAGCTGCTTCTACCTGGGAGTGGCAGGAGACGTGAGAAAACCCCATGGAAGACTCGCAGGATTTAAATGAGCAATCAGTAAGTCTACATTCCGTCGTGCTTTGGTTGAAAAGGTTTGTGGAAGAATGACCCAGAGCTAACTTAAAAATGAGTATGTTGCAAGTCACGTTTTCCTCCAAACGAATTTCAGTTGACCTTTGACTTTTCTCTCAAGATTATAAGACTCTCTTTTGGAAAGTTATGCTGTTTTCTGCTTCGTGACGCTGCCACCATTTGTGGTCTCCCTTGGTGATCTACTGGTGACGCCGCAGTAGAAAGACGGTGGTCACTGAAATCATTCTGATCACTGAAATCATACAGCACAAACCATCTTCTACACCGCCTGTATGGTGTTGTAGTCCATATGTGCCTAGATAAGTTACAAATTGTTGACTATCAGAAGCATAACAGAGATAATTTACGAAAGCGTATATTCTCAGCATGTCAAATATTCATCTTGATACCCTGGCAGTGCGGTCGGGTCAGCACTGGATGGTTCGAACCCACCAGCTGCTCAGCGGGCGCAAGACGAGGTGACCTGCTCCTGTGAGAAACGGCAGTGTCAGAAGGCCTCTCCAGGATCACTTTGTGTTGGAATCGATCTGACGGCAGTGGTTTTACTGTTCATTTTAAGTTGGTAACCACAGCCCTCCAGAGCTTATTGCACAGGGAAAGATGCGGCAGATGGTTGATGATCTTTTGAGTTCTTGGTTCCCAAAGGGAAAGACTTTATGAAGCTTTCATTTCCACATCCTTGGTAGGATTGGCAGCACTGCCCTAGTGAGTGGAGCTAGAGCAGCGGTTCCCAACCTTCCCAAGGCCGCGACCTTTCCAGACAGTTCCTCCTGTGGTGGTGACCTCCCAACCATAACATCATCTTCGTTGCTACTTCATAACTGCCATTTTGCTACTGTTATGAATCATCATGTAAATATCTGATGTGCAGGATGTATTTTCTTT